GGCGCCCCGCCGCGGCGCCGCCGCCCCTTCCTGGCTGTGCTGGGTGCGCGGGGCCTGGGCCCGCCTCATGGGCCCGCACCCCCCAACTCCGCCACGGACGCCATCACCGGCTGCCCCACCTCAGCGCGCCTGCGCCCCCCCGCCCCGACTGCGGGCGCCGCGCAGGCGCACAACCCCTGCCGGCATTGGCTGGGGCCGCACTGAGCGTGCGCGGACGGGCGATGGGGCTCGGGGGTGGGGCCGAGCATGCGCAAGCCGCCCCCCGCCGGCTTTGCTCCTGGCACGGAGCGTGCGCAGAGGGCGCGGCGAAGCCGCGCGGAAGGAGCATGCGTAGTGCCCTCGGCGAAGCCCAGACGACCGACCCTCGTACCCGACCTGCCCGGAGTCCCTTCTGAGCATGCGCGAAGCGGGTCGTTCGAAGGCGCGTCTGGCTCCGAACCGGCGGGGAAGGGGATCGCGGAGCCAGGTGGCTGCGCATGCGCCGTCGGCGCCCGAGCGCCTCAGCGCGGGGGGAGTCGAGGTCAGCCCTGAGGAGAAGCCGGCGGCGAGCAGGGCCGAGGGCGGCCGGCGCTGCCCGGGCGGGGGGGCAGGCGCCTCGGGAGGGCAGCTGGACCGGCGGGGAGGCCCGGGGGAGAGGGAGCTGGCGAGGAGAAAGGCTCTGGAAGGGGAACGAGGCGGCCGAGCGACGTTGGGGGCCGGGTAGCACCGGCAACATGGCGGCCCCGGAGGGTGGGTGGGCGGGCGGCCGTTGGCCAGGCCGTGTCGGCACGGCGGAGCCCGAGTGGGTCTCGCCACGCGGGCGGGTGACGGCAGCTCCAGAAAGGAGGGTGCAAGCGACAGCTGCCTGCTCCGAGTGACAGGCGCAGAGCACACCGATAGTAGGCACGGCAGGGTCGGTATCGCACGCGTGGGTTGGACATGAGCCTTTTCTGAAAATCACTTGCATCTTTATTTATTTATTTCCTGCGGTGAGGAGTAGCTCAGCCTTGCAGTAACACACAGGCTGGCCTTAGGCTGTGAGGTGCAGGCTGGCAGCAGTGCTGAAATCAAGCACAGGAATCAAAAATAGCGCATACCTGCCTGCAAAATGCAGCAGGATCGAGTTACAGGCGCTGGCAGTTATCCAAAGAATGCTGTTACAGAAGTGCTGCGGCACAGCTGGGATGATAATGAAAAATAGAAGCCCAGAATAATGAAGTGAGTTTTAAAAAAATTGACCTTGTTTCTGTGAAAGGAGAATAGAAAAGTGAGAAAACAGAGCTGCTGCAAAATGCTGAGTGGGGGAAAAAATGTCAAAACATACCAGTACTGACTGAATCAAAAACTTTGCTTTCTGTGGTGGAAGCAAGGGGAATACTCTAGCAAACCCTTTTGTCACCTCAGCAGATTTGGCATCAGGCCCATAGCAGTACAGGACTGGAAATCAGCTAGATTTCTGAACGGGCTTCACATTTCTAAAAGCATATGGTACTTTCTTATTATGCTTTTACAGCCTAATCCTATCACTTTGTTTGGGTTATAATTATTTGTTTCTATCCTGCCTTACTAAGCAAAAGTAAGAAAACAAAGACTTTGCTTGCTGTATGGTTGGTTTCAGCTCCCTCCAGAGGTATAGCAACAGTAAACAGATTGATTTCCTGTAAACTGCCATCTGCATTCTTCCGATGTTCAGGAGAAAGTGCTGACAGTCTGCTTTTCCCTAGAAATAGCCACTGGTTGTAGTGTAGCCTTTTCCTTCTCACTAGAGGTTCTCAGAAAATTGCAAAACTGATCAGAAATCTACTTGTCAGAACCTTTCCCCCCCTCTTTTCCACAGTTACTAAAGGCACACTTTTCTTTTTTAGGCTTAAATACAAAGTGAATAAGAATGTCAATAGTCACAGTCCAGCTTGGTCAGTGTGGTAATCAAATTGGTCATGAGGTGTTTAATGCTATCTGCAGTGATGTCCATGGCACACATGGGTTGTGTTCCAAGAAGGAGAATGAATCCTACCATGATGCTTGCAAAGAACGTTTTTTCTGTGAGGAGGAATCTGAAGGTACAACATTTAAGTGTTTGTTTCCCACAGAGGGTCTTGTTTCCAGCCTGATACAGATAAGAGTACAGAAATAAAAAAAGTCTTTTGCCTTCAGTTGAAGAATGAGTTTTACCTTCAGTCTTGAAGAATTATCACAACACTCTGCCTTCATGACATTGCTAACAACCACCGAAGGAAAATCAGTGCACTAAAGTGCCTGAGACCACAAAGCAAGTCTGCCAGTAACACAGCTGGAAGCTGAGCATATATGCATGCATACATACATAATCTGTCCTTCCAAACATTGCATTTTCTACTGTAGATAGATCATACCATGGAGTAGGACCCAGAGTATCTAAATTTCGTGTTATCAAACACAGTAAGTGGTTTCTTTCCTGAAAGCTCTATGGTCTTTAGAGTTCAGATTTGTCTTTGTAACAATAGATGGTTCACCAGAAATCCAGGGCATTGCCAGGTCCTCCTTTCTGTACCTGCCTGTACTGTCCTTTTAATAGTTCGGCTTACATGGGTGGGAGGAATACAATTTGCAAGTCTATCCATCTTATGTGAACAAGTTCTAGTATTGGCACATTATTCTTAGTTTTGTTTTTCTTCTTGTCCAGTACCTGTTGCCCGGGCTGTGCTTGTTGACATGGAACCTAAAGTAATCAGCCAAACCTTATCAATGGCTGCCAGGTCTGGCTACTGGAAATACGATGACCGGTCACACTTCTGTCAGAAGCAAGGGTCAGGGAACAACTGGGCAAATGGGTATGAACAATTGTTTCAAGCTTCACTAAGGGAACTGTAGAGGCTAATGAGCTGTCTAGACTCTAGGAGTGGTACTATTGCAGCTGTGCGAGGTACAGAGTATGTAACATTAACTTGATTTATTTTTAAGTTAAAGTAGCAATATATATAGAAGTGAAATGTCTAAACTGCTTTTTGCAAGGTGAAATTGGTATTTACAGTGAAAATCTAACGTTTTAAAATAGAGTGAATATATTCAGTTTAAGAATAGGAAACATTGAGCACAGTTTATAAATAACGTGCAAAATAAATGTCACAGCTGAGGATTGTTTACTGCAGATGGATGATATAATGCGAGGTTATGTAAATAATAATAATAAAAGTATGCTTTATGAATAGCTTCACCTTTCTGTTTTTGTTTTGATATAACCTGCCATGTCTCACTGTTTTGTCTGTTATTCAACAGTTATTCTGTTCACGGGCCTAGACACAAAGAAGTAATAATGAATTTGGTGCAAAAAGAAGCAGAGAAATGTGATCGACTCGGTGGATTTTTCACAATAATGAGCATGGCTGGTGGTACAGGATCTGGCTTGGGCGCATATGTGACCCAATGTTTAAGAGATGCTTTTCCAACCTCATTTATATTAAACCATGTTATCTGGCCCTACGGCACTGGTGAGGTGAATGTCATATTTCCCAGAGATACTCTGCAAGTTTATAATCACTGTTTACTTTTAAACATAAAATATCTGCAACTGAAATAAACTAGAAAAGAGGCACATTTTACTTTTTAAAAGTTCAACATGACAGAAAGTAACACAGCTAATGTTTGCCTAGTATTTGGTACGTTACACCAAAAAAAAAAAATTCTTGATAATATAAGTGCTAAAGTATAATGCAGTTTCACAAGAAGCTCTATTAGCTAACTAGAAATCTCCTGTTATAATATCTCAGTATTATAACCAGTTCCCAGACAGATTTTATTCTAGCATGTTTGTATGAAGTGAGATGGATAACATGATTTTCACAGGTCTTGCTCTCTTTCCATGAAAAAGCTCTGCTAGTCCCTGACCTCATTCTGCACTTTTGCAAAGAAAACGAATCACTTCCTAAGTCATAACTGAGGAAATGACAGTAGCCAGAGGATTATAAACTAGAAGGAGATTAAGTTGTTTGACTCTCATTTGTGTGTGGTTTTTTGGTTTTTTTCCAGATCATTGTTCAAAACTACAACTCTGTTTTGACTCTGTCACATCTGTACCAGTCATCAGATGCCCTTCTTGTTCATGAAAATGATGTCATCCACAAGATCTGTGCTCAGCTGATGAATATTAAACAGATCTCCTTCAGGGATGTAAATCAAGTCATTGCACATCAACTGGGGAGTGTTTTCCAGCCCACTTACACAGCAGAAGGTGGCTTACACTATAGCAGAAACCCGTTAGGTATCTAACCATCTTATATCTGCCTAATGCATTCTCACACATCTTTCTGAAGTCATTTCATATTGTGAAGTTCTTCAGTCTCCTTACTCAAGTATTTGGATACATCCCAAGATTTAAGATGGGAAAGTGAAGGAAAAGACTAAATTAGGAGTTCAATCCCAATTTTGTACCAGAGTCAAAATAGATCCCCCAGCTTCTGGTTTCAATCTTTACCAAAATAACCCTGTTTCTCCTTTTTCAAGTGATTTCAGACACCACTGTACCTATTTACAATTCAGAGGAAATTTGTGCAGGACAGTAATTTTGGACTGAGTTTTACGTTTCACGTTAGAAGTTTGTATAAACTGAAACAGAATGAAAGTTTTGTGTTTTGCTCAGGCAGAAGACAGGCTAGCATACAACTTGGTAGCAACAAGCAACAGGCTGACATTTGTATCTTTAAGGGATTAGAGAAAGTTACCAATATTGTCGAGAGTTTTGCATGTAAAATTAAACTTTCACATCTGTCTGTCAATCTCTTTAGCAGTGCATAGGGTCTTTGAGATTTTGAACCAGACTATAAAGTGACACAAGTGTAAACTCTAAAACAAGAGCTACTAACATGCTTGTATAGAACTCAGTAGTACGTAGCAAGTTTGCATTACTTTGATGTGTGTCCATAAATTTGTCAAATTAAAACTTTACATATCCTGCTTTGTTTCTTACCTTAAATTGCTAGATCTTTGTAAAATTCCTCACTCTCTTCTCCTATTTTAGCTAGCCTATGCAATATCTTTGTCAAACATCAGCAGCTGTTAATTTCTTCTTTCAGGAGACTTAATGGAGATGTTAGTTCCACATCCCGAATTCAAGATGTTGGGTCTTCGTAACATACCTCAGATGCCTGAAAACTCCCTCGCTTATAGCACATTCAGTTGGCCTGGACTCATCAAGCATTTAAGGCAGATGCTCATTGCTAATGCTAAAATGGAGGAAGGTAAAAAGCATTCACGCATCTTCAGTATCTGTCATTCTTCAGGCATTTATTTTTACACATGAAATAAAGCTTATTGTTTTGTGGAGCTCACTGACTAGCTTTAGTCAGTTCAAAATGAGTTACTGCCCTCAGACAGCAGGAATTTGCCTCTACATAGCCAGCTGCTCCTTTAACTATTCACTCAGCTGCCGCTGCAGCTCCTGGCTTGCTCCTGTTTTTGCTCCCAGACATCTCAGTTAATTATAACTATTGAAAATATGCAAAACAAAACAGTTTTTGGCCATGTGCTTAATTTACATGATTCATTTGGAACATTCCTTGGATAGTTAGTTCTGTTATACTTTTTCTTTTTACACCTTCTACTAATAAAAATCATGTTTAGCTCTCCCATATCATTTACATGCGGAATTCAGTACAGCTTCCAGTTATGCAAAGAATGGGCTGGCAGGTTGCTTAATATAGAAACAAGTATCCATTTTCTCTGGTAAGACTAGTGACTACTAGGCAAATACTGCTGGATTAGCACTGGTTTTCTCTGAAAATTATGTAATTGCTACTTAACTGACGTGCAGAAGCCACAAACTCTAATAGGATCTCAACTTGGGGCACAGTGTTATTTACCGTCTGACTCTTTGGCTAGTCTGAATGCATATTTCATGACACATTAACTTTCTTTTATATCTTTTTTTGCCAAAATCTCATAGGTATTGATTGGCAAGTACGACCACCACGTCTAGGCTCCTCCATCCCCTCCAGTCATTCCACAAACAAGCCACTGCAGTTCAATACTTCCATTGCCAACCTGGTTATCCTGCGAGGAAAAGATATGCACAGTGTAGACTTAGGTAAGAAGGAAAACCACAGTACCTCAGTGATTCTTGTTTCCCATCTCACTGTTTTCTTTTCAACCATACGTGACAAAAGTGAAAAAACCCCAGGGCCACGCATTTGACTACTAAGGTCAATATTCCCTCTAGAAACATTTTAATGTCCAAGGCCACATTGTCTAATTGCTTAGGGCTGTTATATTTACAACCGACTTCTGTGTTTCCTGAACCACTTCAGGGAAGGAGGAAGAGACTGAAGTCCATGTATACGACAGGATTCTTGGCTATACTGTCTGAAAATATATTTAGCTGCTTCTGGAGTGATGAGCATAGCTTACAGATGAAGTACCAATACAAGAGTATGCTTCTAGATAATCTAATGAATCTGTTTAAAACAGTTATATTTTCAGTAGGCTGACCACTCTGCAGATTTTTTTCAAGGCCTGAATTGATCTGCCAGGCATTGATTAGGTCACACAAGACTACTCAGATCAAGATGCAGGAGCCTGTAGCTTTACATTTGTCAACAGGGCTGTCTTATTTCTGCTGCAGGAAGTTTCCAAGATCCCTCATTATATACATCATGGCTAAACCCTCAGGATGCTTTTAACGTGTGGAAAACACCACGAGCATTTAACAAGTATGAAAAGTCTGCTTCTTTGGTCAGCAATAGCCAGTTCCTGCTGAAACCTCTTGACAATGTTGTAGGAAAAGCTTGGAATATGTTTGCTTCCAAGTAAGTGAAAATAATTATGCTGATACTTCATTAATAACTGCCAATATCTTCAGTGGTAGCAAAATCATTGTAAATACAGCTCACTCTTTCAGCAAAGTAAAATAAGCATGAAGGCTGTTCCCACACTGTAGTTGAAACATTTTTATGTTTGAAACATGATGGCAGGGTGAGGAACACAGAACAGTGCTTATGTTCTGTGGATAAGTGAGACCACTTATTCTAGTGCTGTCAGTTTGACTATTTTCTCAGTACTAAAACTCCCCAAATTTAGTGCATACCAATGTGACCATTCTAAAAATAACACATAGAAACTCTTTTACTGATCATATAGTTTCTAAATTGGGTACACATGCTGCACAGTCCGGGGGAAAAGTTCCTGGCTCAGTTCAGAAGCATTTAGGGGATTTGTGTATTTACTAAGGCTCCCGTGCTATTAGTTTGATTTTTCATTGGAACCAAGGACTCTAGAAAAGAATTGCCTCTTTACTTTGATCATCATGAAGCCAAGGTTACTGCATGTCACAGCAGATGTCTGCTAAACATGAGTTTCTAGCACAGGAATTCTGCAATTAAAAGCCAAAAGAGGAAAACTGCTGCCACTAGCTGTGCTCCTAGTTTTACCACCTGTTACAAAAACACCAGTGATAAGAAGCAAGCTATCCTCCACACACAGGTTTAGGCTTTGTATCTCAAATCTATAATTTACTTCTCTCATTTAATAATCACTTCTCCTTCCATTTCCCAGTCAGGCCAGTTTTGTTAGCTGAGATTTTGTTTCCTGAAGCAATACACAAAGTTATAGAACCTATTAGAAACAAGTCATGACTTATCAATAAGTATGAATTACAAAATGAGTTCAAGAGAGCAAAGTAGAAACTAAACAGCATGGTTACTGGGTGGAAACCAACCTTCATTTGAAGTTTTTACCATAACTATACAATCTGATTTCATGTGTCAGATTCTTCACTGATTGCTAATGTCTTACCCATTTTCCTACTGTGACTTCAACACACAGAGCCTATATTCACCAGTACACTAAATTCGGAATCGAAGAGGAAGATTTCCTGGACAGCTTCACAGCTCTGGAACAAGTTATCTCCAGTTACACCATCCTGTGATTTTTCTTTTTTTTTTTTTTTTTTTTTTTTTTAAATGGTCTCAAATAGAGCTTTCCTGAAAGAACCCAGCACTGGAAAACCTTCCATCAACTTCCTGATGTGTATAAATTACTGGACTGTAGCTATTTTTCAGTCTTGTAAGCAGTGTGTGCATATGTTAGAATAGTAAGAACTGAATATATTTGTATGGGCGAGTTTTATTCATATTTAATATATCTAATAAATAGCTACTTTTCAATACATTTGCTACATACTGTAGCTCAGTCTTTGAACATCATAATTTTTGTCACTGGGATATTTTTCATAAAGAATGTCTATACAGAAGGATTTTTCTCCAGGCTAAACCCTCAGCATCTCAACTGTGATGAAATAACGTGTGATAAAAATTAAATGCGTGCTTGACTACAGTAGTAAGGCATTCCTGATCCTCCAGTTTCAATTTCTGATGATAACACTTTGCCCTAGGAATGTTTCAATATTCATAAAATGTACAGTATCAGAATTATTAATCTAAACTGCATTTGGATTCAAATCGTTCAAGATACAATAGTGTGCCACCTGTTCCTTTAAAGCAAAGTAAGACTTAAATTCTATTTTAAGGACCTTAACGTTGACCAAATAGCAGAAGTTTTGAATCATCTTTTAAAAAAAGGTATGAAGGGTTCTTCATTTTCCTGTCATCCTCAAGTTATATTAGAGATTATAATGAATTATATGCTTTTCTGGCCATTTCACTGTGCCATGTTTTCAAGTGGTGTTACCTACCTCTTGGAAGAAAAAAAAAACAAACCAACAAAATCCCTATAGCACATCAGAGGTCTTCGCTATTTGTTATAGGCAAACCATAGATTTTAAGCAAAACTACAACTCTTGCTCTTCCTCCTATAAGTTAGAAGCAGGTAGTTTTTTAATTAATTTGTTATTTATTTAAGCATATTTGGGAGGAGAATTGCTGGTTGATTTCAGATGTAAGAGCCTGTATAATATAATAAATATAATAGATTGTATAATTTCAAAAGTCAATTCAAGAAATGGGCTCTTTTTTGCACAAATTTTACCACGACCACAAGGTGGTGCCCCTGGGAAGCTGCAGCTGCACCAGCCTGATGAGAGGAAGAGATTGCAGTAGCTTGTGGGGGTACAGACTAGATGCTCATAAAATAAGAGAGTACAGTAGGATTAAGGATCATGTTGTAACACTGAGCTTTCTTCTGCCTCTGTTAGCTTTTCACTTAATGGTAGGGAGAGCTTTTTGAATTCTTGCTATTCCTCCCCACATAGAAATAATCCCACACACTATTAAATATGTATGCCAAAAAGAAAAGTTAAAAAATCAGTCTCAAGGACTTTTTCCTTGACAAGTGGACAAATCTCACAGTTTCCCTTTAGGTTTTAGTGCTGTTTCATGCCAGGCCTCTGAACTTTTAACTAAAAAGATGAGCACGCACATAGTATGATGCTAAAGATGTTAAAGATGTTTGCAATATGGCTAACGATGCCCACATAGAAATCTTACCCTGTTAGAGATTCTGATTTAGATTTTAAATCTTTAATGAATTAACAGTGGTAGATGCAGAAGTGACCTTGCAATTCTGCTAGGCTTCAGAGCACAGCAGACACTCTGTATTACTTCTATCTTTATTTCTTTCCCTGGTTTCATTTACCTCTTCACTTTCATTCAGGCCAGGTACAGAAGCACTAAAATCCCCTCCTGGAGCACCTGTTCTCAGAGCAGCTCTGGCACAAGACACCTAGAACAGCCAACACGCTTCTTGACAAGATTCAAGTAACTGTACAACTGAATCTGAAGAAAACAAGTAAGTACTGAGGTTAAGTTCTCAATTTCTCAAACACACCCATAGTAGTAGCTGATCACTGGCATAGTTGTGTAAATGCAAGCCTCAATGGATTCTGATAAATTTCGCAGTAGCTTATAGACAAGCAATGTTAATCTCTCATGCCTTCCAAAAAAAAAAAAAATTTCAAATGCCTGTTAGCAGTAGGGCAACCTTCAGTACACATTAGGGTTGAGTCTAGTCCTAATTCATGCAGAAAAATTACCTGTGTAAATTAAGAGCTATATTGGTGCTTCATTTCAATAGCTAAATCATTAAATATACAGGGGAATGAAAATCATTCGTGGGGTGGGGGAGAACACAAGAGGGAAGGCAAAGAGAAGGAAGCAGATAGGGTAAATATACCCAATAACTTATAAAAAGACACTTTACATTTATGACAAGACGATATTCTTGCAGACCACAGTACACAATCCAACAACTCAGTCTGGTTTGCTTTCTGTTTTCACTCAGCTCTGCTAATTCCTGTTTTGGGAACTCCCTCTCAAAAGGGGAAGACACAATAATCATAGTTCAACTATCCAGCCATACTTGAAGCCCTATACTTCTCAGTAAAATTTGAGTAATTTGGAAGTTCAAAACTACATACAACTTTTGTTATAAGAGTATTATTTGTGATATTTAGTATTCCTTTTCACTAAGTCACTTCCTGGCAGCTCAGAGCTGGAGGACTGTTCTGATCAAAAGGGCTTTTCTGGTGTTGTGTTTCTGTCAGTTTCAGCCATTGTCTTTAACTTGGGTATTTTCACAGAAGAAACGGGAGGAAAGATTGCACAAGAAGTTAAGATAAACAGCACAGGCAATTCAAGTTTGCAAGGAACAAAGGGTCAGGAAAGGAGACAGCATGGTAAGGTTCTCCCTCCTCCCTCCTTCAAAACGCACAGAATGTTTAGCAACATAGAAATAATTTTCTCTAGTGTTTTCAACAAATATCAGACTGAGAACTTCTTCCAGTATCAGAAATGAGAATAGATAACTCCATGTCTGAAAAAATGACCAAGTCCCAGGAATGCATACTCTTCTTCATTGTTCCACGGGACACGCAAAGAAGAGATTTTTAAAAAGCTAAGGACAGATAAGTCCTCTCAGAAATAAGGAAGAGAGCAACGGGTTATTGTACTGCTATATCAATAAGTAACTTTATTGCAGAAATAACCTCATGTTATCTCTATGTATTTATAATTCTGAGCATGAAGCAAATACAGCAGGTGCTTATTGCACCAATGAATGACATAGACCCATTTATCCATTCTTCGTAGGTACATTATTTATGGCTTATGTCACTTTTAGTTAATGGAGCAGGATATTTGGGGTTTTTTTGTTTCTTTAAGTTTGATGGCAGAATTTGGGCCACGTCAGGAAACACAGCACACAGCTAAGATGTATAACCCCAAAACAAAAATTTCCTTATTTAATCTGTAGTTATAACATATGAAAACAGAGGAAGGATTCTGCAGCTCAAAGACAGAGCTAGGCCAACGGGTTCATTACTGCTTAACAAGGATACTTCTTGTTCACAGTTAGAATTCAGGGATAATACTCCTACTTCACAGGAAAACAAAGTTTTTCAAAGCAGCAATAGAGGATCACAACCATCAGCCAAATTTTGACAACACAGATTCCTCAAAACTACAAAAAAAAAAAAAAAAAAAAGGGGAAAAAAAAAGTGTAGCTGTTGTATTAGCTGTTACAATCCCTTTCATTGCTCTGGACAAGAGATTGACAGGAATTGTTTCAGGCATCTCTAGGCTTCTTCCTGTTGGTGTTTTTCACGGCTGACCTCAGTTCTGTAATTCTCACACCCTTTCCCAAACTAAGCCTTCATTTTTTCATCTATGGCTGAATTACTCTATTTTTTTTCCCCAGGATGTGGAGAGGGTCAAAGTGACAGGAAGTGAATAGCTATTATCAAATATTCATCATCTACAATTATATTAGAAGGTGGAGTATTCATTTTCTATTTTATTGATAAAATTAATTACATAAATAGTCAGAGCCTGGATGTGGGCCTTAATTTCTAATGAAATAAAAATTAACAAGGTAGATCAAAGGTCAGCACAAGCCAATGGCTCACTGAGGCAGGAACAACAGAATCAGTGGCCTTGACCTAGCTAGTTTTAGGCAAACTACCCACAGGATGTCCATAAACCAAGGAACAATGCATCAAATCTCACTATTGTTTTTTGTAATGAACAGGTGCAGCTCACTTGGAAGTTGATTCAAGGACTCTAACTATAGCAGATATATTTAATGAATAGGATAACTTTTATTTGGCAACAAAAAAAACAGGAACAAAAATTAACCTGTTACAAATACTTCAAACATAGTAACTGTTTGGCAAGTGACAGGGCACTAATGTAGTTATGGATACAATTTATTTCCACTTAAGTATATATGGGTGCTTGTAAGGTTAGGCTGACTACCAGTACAGAAAGGATAGAATCTTAGTATAAATATATAAGGGGTTTTCAAGAAGATTACCTGCACAGATTTAACAAACTGAAACAGCTCAAGATTAAGGGAAAAAAAAAAAATCTGTGGTTTCCACAACAACCAGGGTTTTATCAATAAGAAAGGAAGTTATATTCAAACTACCAGCTGATACACTACTGGGAAACATCAAGGTACAAAAGGATATTAAATGAATAATTAATTTCCTTCTGCATTTGTTAATAAACTTAGTATAAATAAATATTATGAAACATCCAAAAGGAAATATTTTCAGATGTCAAACTGTACTTTAAAGAAGTTTTGCTGGACACCACTTTAAAAACTGCACAAGCCTCATCAGGAATGCAATTCATAGATCTGATATGGTACCAAAAAACTTCCCAAAGGAATTGAGCTGCTGCCTTTCCTCCACTGCTTTCAAGGGCAGCCCAGACACAGCCTTACCAAGGCAGCAAATTCCAGTGTGGGCTTCCTCCTCAAGCCTCCTGCCTCTGGCTTCCTATCCCAGCTCTGCCCATGCTCCAGAAGCACAGCCTGGACACTCAGACAACTTTTAACTCGCCTGGATGTAGAGCTGATAATCCTGAATTTTAACTATAGAGCCTTTCCGGCTCTTTCAGTCAAACTCGAAGTTCACAATGGTCACTTCTGATATCACATTGTATGAATCCTCTCCCTCTAGACAGCCACTTC